TTCCTCCATCCACAGTAGTAGTAGTGGTGGTAGTAGTAGTAGTAGTAGCAGCAGCAGCAGCAGTATATGCCACAGTATTTTGCGCATGTGATGGCCTGCAAATGTTGTTCTTGAAGTCACGTTTCAAGATGACAGTCGCGCAGTGGGGGGCGGGGGGGCGGGTGGCAAACTATCTTGTAAGGCAGACATTTAAACATTTCGCCTCGAGCGAGCAAAAAATGTAGGGCCCCAAATGCTTGACGCTTGAGACTTCAGATCGTAGCATACACTGGAAACCCCAAATTACCTCAGACTCTGGGTGAATGGGTTCTAGAATAAAAAAGACGCGTGAAAATTGCGGACTAGTGGGGCAAGCCTTCGACTCATGGGGCGTACCTTGGACGAATGGGATGAATGGAGCGACTAAAAGTTTAGTTCAGAAAGCCTGAAAACCTGACAGGTAAAAGAGACAAAACAAACAAGTCTCAAGCGGTGTGTCGAAGATGTGCACGTGTAATCGTCGCCTTGAAGTAATTGCTCTGCAGGCGTCTAAGCAGCAATGCTTAGAAGAAGAACATGTAAGTTCTAGTAGAGAGACAGTAAAGCAAAACGCGTGTGAAGCGAAGAGAAGCACAGCATCACTTATGGATACCGGCCGGTCCGAGTAGTCAACGTCGTAGTAGCGGTGGTGGTGGTGGCGGCGGCGGCGGCGGCGGCGGTCGTGGTGGTGCTGGTGCTGGTACTGATGCTAACACTGGTGCTGATGGTGCACGATTATTGTGATGATAATCGTTTGAGCTTTCAAACCGCAACTACTAATAGCAATACCATTACTTCTAGACATGCAGCACAAGAGAATCGATTTATATTCGTTGGAAGCACTCAAATTTCCAGGCTTAGAGAAGCAAAACTTGTTTCCATCCAGAGCGTGATGCTGAAAAAAATACGAGCCCAGCTTTCGCAACTGCAGGCGATTCCTCTCTTCCTCAGTGGTTGCCTGGCCAGATTGATGTTGCGGGCGTAAAGCAGAAACTTCAAGATCATGACGTCTGTGTAGCCCCTGACTCTGCAGCAAGTAAGCATTAACTCTGCCGATAGAGGGAGAGGGGCTCCCCACATTACAGCTCTATCAGTGAATGCCAGGACTTTCTTCTCGCAGCAGAGTTGGTTAGACCAGAGAAAGCTTCAGGATGGGCGCTCAGCCAAACGCCTGGGCGCCTGGGGGCTATCTTAGGGTTGATCCGGGTACTGAGGAATACGAAGACGATCCAAGCATTGCTGCCAGGCCTGCCTGACATGCTGAAACTGCAGCTACTTATTGATAGAATCCAGGGTTCTGCCTGACTCTTGAGTTCCTAGTCAGCCGTCGTTTGGAAGTGATTGGAGGAAGCTCGCACGATGACTTGCAATCGAGGTTAAACGGTAAACGATTATGCTGCAGGCTGGCCAAGAAAAAGCAGCAGCAACAGCAAAAGCACGAGGAGGAGACGAGCCGGATTAGCGGAGCCTCAGGCATGCCCCAGTTTAAATGGGCGATCCAACCTTGCGATTTTGCCCACTACCGCTCGTTTGCTGTCTTCGTGTTTGCGAGCGATGCCTTTGACTATAGGGTAAAACTTGTATTGCTTGCTTCAATGAAATCTAAGGTCGTTTCACATCATGGCTCGTCGGCTGGCAGAAGGACAAGGTTCCCAAAGCCTAGTAGAGAGAGGGACTATGTAAGGGTGGTATAACGGTACTACACTGAGGCGAGTTGATTAGTACACTTTAGGAGGACCCCCACCCTGTAATAGTGGTAAATATTACAGGACCCCAATACCCCAATATAGTCCCTATTATCCCCTATAGTCACTACTGCAGGGTCGGGTTCAACCAAAAATGTACTTATGCGGGTATATTCCGCGCTCCGCGTTCCCTGTCTCCCTCCGATGGTACCGTTCGCATCTGGGGATGAGGCCATATGAGCTACTGCTCAACTCTTCAAAGGGGATTACTCTAGGGGCTATTAAGGGGGATACTAGGAGCTTAGACTAGAGCTCATGTCTAGAACCTGAAGGCGCATGAACCCTCCGTAAAACCTCCCTAATCCGTCTTTCAACTTGTTTATAAATCCTCACCACCACAGGGCCACAGGACCACAAAGGGCATGTCCAGTCCCCAATAACGCTTAACAAAACCTTTACAAACCCTTTACGAACCCTCCAGAAACTCTTTTACCGTTGATAAACGTTCTATCCAAGCTATGAACCCTCTGTAAGCCTTCTGTGAAATTCTTTAAGCCTAAAGCCTCTATCTCCATAAGCCCTGTCTACTGTCTAAGGTTCTATAAAGCCTTCACAAACCCCCTCGAAACCCCTAAACAAACTCTTGAACCATTTAAAAACCTGCTACAACATCCATAACCCTCTGTACACCTTCTTTAAACCTTGTAGAACCAATTAAAACCTGGTATTGAAACCACCCTACCAAGACTACAGCACCAGGGGAAAGGGGGTAGGTTAATCATACTCTCTCTCATGGACGAAGGGGCGGGCAAAAAAGGAGAGAGACCTCGGAATGCTGACGCATATAAACCTTGCCATCCCATGTAATTCTGAAAGCCCGCCTTTGGAATTTGAAGCTTTTGGGAAGCTGACAAAACCGGACGAAATAAGACCGTAAGGTAGTGACTGTATGGGTTGGATGCAAGTCAGGCTTCTAGCTAGCATGGCAATGCTTCCTTGTGAGGCTTGAAGATCTGGTGACCGAAGGCGGTTGTACAGCGCGTGGTAATGCAAGGCGCCTCAGTGAGACCAGCAAATTGCTCAAAGCTTGTGCCATCTAGTTGGATTCCTGGTCCTGATTCTGAGATACACTTGGTGGCAGCTACTTTCAGCGTAGGAGATCATACAAGACGCATGTGCAACATTCGTATACGTTATTGCGGCTCACCGAAGTGCGCGCGGCTCCTGAAGCTGCAATGATGGCAAAGCATCAGGAGCGTTCCATTCAGGACGCTCTTCTGCGCCTGAATTCTCAGATGCCTTGACTGTCTCTGCCTGACACTAATACTTAATTGATAGCCGCTGACACCTGGGACAGAGGAGTAGATGCTAGTGAATGTCAGTCGGCATCTGCAGTGAACTTGATTGTGGCCTGCTGAGCTTATGGTGCTCACCTAACATGCAGCGAAGCATGCGAACCAAGAGGGGCCAAAAGCATCTTGACACCGAGCCTGCTTCAATAAGCGATGACGTGCTGGCGGCTTCACAAGTCCGCCAGATCACATCTTGCAGCAGTATTGTCTCTTCAAGCCAGAAGTACACATCAGCCAGGACTAAGTTAGATTGTTTTAGATAGTTTTGGCCAGGCCAAGTGTCCAGAAACAAGGCAGGAGTCCTCCGCGTCGGCTTGAAACATCGCGGTCATGGCAGTTACTTCACTCAGAACGCCACGGCTGGTGCCCTGTCAGATATTGAGCCAGGGAGATGAGATCTGACGAAGCTGCAGCACGTCAGCTGTGCGCTTACTAAGGCCCCAAGTATTGCAACCAAGAAGAGTACAAAACGCCCTTCGGCAACCGAAGGCCAGCGACATCACCTCTGGTTCCTTCCCTTGCTGTCGTTCTCAAGTTGATGGAATTTCCTGGGTAGCTGCAAACCTGTAGAATCCATTATAATCCATGGATCTGCTATCAAGTCGCCGGCAAAGCTTTCGTTCCGTGAGCCAAGCCGTCCTCTTGGATTCTTGGTGCATTTGGCGGCCTCTTGAGTTCCACCTCCCAGACCCCCTAAAGGATCCAAAACATGGAACCACCCAACATGATCCCCCTTTACTACGTTGGGGAAACTAGGATTTTTTTCTCGATCCTTTAGGGGTCTGGGTTTGCCTTGCAGGCAATATTGATCTTGACGATCTTATTGCAGCAACGGCATCCATGCCCACGGGCGCTGCGTCCTTCCGAGGTGGGCCCAGCAGAACTGATCAAAGTATAAGTTGTCCCCGTTAAGGAGGTAGAATACGGGGTATATTATTGAGGTTATATAGGGATAATGGAAAAGAAAATGGAAACTACTATATTTTAATTGGGTATGTATTGGGTTATAGTCCCCCTTAAGTAGATAGAATATGGGGATCTTATTATAGCATACCCGCAGCGATTTCTATCTACTATAACATGTTAGTCAATTTGTCAAACAGAAATGGTAGTTTCCCTAAATAGGGGAACCTCAATGTAGAGCCCAAAATACTATAATCCTTATTATTATGGGGACCCCCAAAAAGGTACCCCTCATTTTGGGAAACCTCCAAATTGTTTGGTCCATGCACTGAACGAGTCAGGAGCTCGGCCCTCTTTGCCGGCTTGTCCAGGTGCCATGTTGAAGAGCGGGGGATCTCAGTAAATAGAGTCATAGATATGTAATATAGTAGTTTCCATTTTCTTTTCCATTATTCCCTATATACCCCCGATATTCTATAGTAGTTTCCATTTGATTTTCCATTATCCCTGTATTATAGAGGGATTTGCGTGAATAACACTTTGCCGTGTTGTTCTTGAACCTTGAAGCAGCACTTGCCCTGAGGTTCGGAGCCTCCGGAGGAAACCTCCAACAAAGACTTGGGCCGCTACGCAACTCCCTCCTGTAAGGTCAGCAAGACCAAGAGCCGCCCGGCAGCAGAGCGCATGCTCTCGAGACACATGATCATCGCGTGTGAATTTGTGCAATCTTTCCGGTCTTGAGTGGACCAGCCATTGTCATTCATCCTTTCTGTGGGGCTTGCGTCCTGAAAGGTCAAGCATGTTTGTGGGACACTGAGGCACAGGTGCGCATACACCTCGGCGACATTCAGACGTCACAAGTGCCAGAGGCCACACGCTTAATCTTAGTATATTTGGCATCAAGCCATTGTAGTCTAAGATGTAAGAAGACCCACAAGACAGGCAACGTCGTTTGTTGCCAAGAGTCAGGATTTGAGGTTCAATGTTTGCAGGTTGAGAGATGCAACAACAAAGACAGCCTCTAGCATCAGGACTTATCAGGAAGATAACCCACGGTGCCGTATCAGCAACCAGCGAGGTAGGTTGATACAGTGAGGTTGGCGGCAAGAATGGATGCTGCTTCAGTAGCTTTTAGGCGTTAATCCGACGCGATTTGCTGTTTTGAGTAGGTGTACCCAGGCTGAAGACGCGAGCTTCGCCCTCAACTCCCAAACATAAGCAGGTTTCCAACTTAGATCTGCATCGTGCGGGCGCTGGGACTTTAAAGTGCAAGTTTTCAGTACGGGGCACGAATGCACTTGTACCGTTACATCTTTGCAGCAGCAGGCTTGACGGTTCCGACAGCACCCTCTACACCTCATAGTCGCTCGCTTGCGTTTGGTGCACGTTGTCAGCCTCTTTAGGGAACATTGTCCAGACAATGACAGTGCCTTGTGCTCGCGATGGTCTTTCACTAGAAATGATCTTGGCCAAGAGGTAGGTTTCTCTGCTTGCTGAGTACTGAGGCGGGCGGCCCAAAGGGCCGCTAAAAAAGTCGCTGGGCTCTCAGCCCTGTGTGTGAGAGTCTGGGCTGCTTCGCAAATATCTGACAGAGGTCTACTCATCATGCGGCAGATGTGAAAGGCCTCAGTACTCAAAAGTTGGGGGTCATTCTCCGAAGAAATTCAGGCCTGCGAGCTGATTGGCTGCTAGTCTTGGGACCTTGTCTAGAAACTCTGCCGCAGACCTTCGGAACGGTGACCCAGATGACGAATGTGAGGATGCCCCATGACTGCGTTCCAGTATGCTGGTCTTGCAGTGCCTTCTGATAGCTTCGCAATTCAGTGACCAGTCGGACATCATAGCACCCTCTGAATTTGACTACTGTGAGTATCTGTTGCGAAGAGTGGACGGCACGGTCTCAAGAATGCGTCAGAGCAGCTGTCGAACTTTTGGATTCACTGAACTGTCGCATGACAGTTCTGGGAAACCCTAATCCTTATGACCCCTACGCCAAGTCTCATGTAATTGTCCATGTTCTTGTCCGCTTGATTCTCCATTATTCGGAGGATAATGATGATAATCCCAAATAGTTAGCAGCTTCCGTTTTCTCTTCCATCATCCTTATATATCCCTATATAACCTGAAAACCCAAGTAATAGAGTAGTTTCCATTTTCTTTCCCACTGTCCCCTAAACCCTAATGAGTAGTTTCCATGTTGTTTTCCCTTATCCGCATTCATCCCCCGTAAACCCTAAAACCAAAGCCTTGAAACCCTAAACCATTAAACCCTAAAACCTTGAATGCGAACAGGCAGTTGCCATGAGCCTGGACATGACAATGATCAAGGCAAAGTCGGACATGCCCAGGCCCCGTGGGGTTTAGGTTGATTAGGGCTTAAGGGCCTTTTGGGGTGTATAGGGTGTTTAGAGTTTTTTTTTTAATGGTTTTATGGATTTATAGGGTTTATATTGTTTTGGTGGAAATAGGGACAATGGACAAGAAAATGCAAGCCAATATTTGGGGTGTATGGGTTGGGGTTTAGGTGGATTAGGGTTTTGGTTTTGAGGGCTTTAGGGTTTAGAGTTTGGGATTCTAGCAGTTTAGGGTGGAAATCTAGGGATCATGAAAAAGCAAATGGCAGCTACTATTTGGGGTGTACGGATATGAGTAGGGAGAATGGAAAGAAATGGAAACATACTAGGGTATATATCGGGGATGGAAGATGAATGAAAACTGGGATTGACAGTCCTGGGCTCATATTGAACTTGTTGGTTCTTGGGATTACATAGGGATTGTATTGGCTATTCCCTACCAAGAGCCAGCAAGTGAGTCTGAGCATAGGAAAGCAGTGCATGTGACTGACAGGCCTACCACGAGTGCAGCTGATGGGTCTGCTAGCTTGGACATCGACACAGAAATGCAGGCGGTGATGGAAAAGTGTCACACATGAAGGCTACCAGCTCCCAAAATGTTATGGTGTGATCATACTTTCCGTCAGGTCGTGAGACGTCCCAGCCAGCAGGAGCAGCTCGTGTCCAGGCTGCTTCTTTCCGACGACGAGAGGGTCGTGACGAGCTCGAAAGCCACTCTCTTTACATTTTAGGGCTGACCCCCGAGTCAGAAAGATTGCTTGTGTGTGCATCTTGCTGTCGGGATGGGCAAATCCTCAGGAAGTGTCCGATTCTGGCACTCGGGTAGGAGCAGAGTCCGAAGGCAGGTGAAGTACCTGCTCGCATGCAGCCATCATAGAAGCAATAGTGATAATACGAACAACAGAAACAGTACTTGTAGTAACAATATAAACTAACAGGAACAACAGTCCTGATAGTAGTAACACTAACAATTGGCTTCCGCACCATGCCCCGGGCAAGGGATCTCCGAGAAGCAAAAGCGGAAACTCGACGGCCGGCGCAGGTCGTTCGAGCTACAGGCATTCCGCTGTTTCTCTGCGTGAAGCTCTACCCCATGCGTGCTGAAGCTGGTGCGCTTGACTATTTTTACTGCGGGTTGGCAAGGAAGTCAGGGCTGCTAATGGTATGCTACTGCGGACTATATAGGGGTTCTTAAAACCACCAGTGCTTGTGTGCCTTGAAGGCGATGCTTAACTCCGTCGAAAACCAAGACGGAGCAGACATGGTGCAACTCTTGCAGAACAGTGAGGATAGTGCTGGCGGCTCAGGGCAAATCACCAGCATTTGGAAACACCTTCAGCCAAGATTCCTGGCTCTTGAGGCGCCGATTACCAATGACGTGCAAAGCAAGGAAGATGAGTACTGGAGCAGCATGTGGCAGATGACGAGAAGTATGCCCCAAGCTGAGATTTGCTTTCTACTGCAAAGTGCGTGCTGCAATAGAATTGGTCTGCTGCGTGTACAGGAAGCTACGGACTGGTGCAATAGGAATTGCTTCTTGCATGCTGGGCTAAAACCAAGAGGAAATTTTGAGAAAGGCATACATCCTCTTTTTCCTATGACAAGCTGAGAGGATACCTAACCGGCTAGCGCCGTATGCGCCTGCCTCCTTTCCTGCCCCTACAGGGCTGCCGGAGCTTGAAAAGGGCGGATGGGTGTTTGCGCTTCTTCCACAAATAATCTCTTTGATAGAGAGAATGGCTAGGATGGCCAACTGGGACAATCGGCACCCCACCCCAAAAAGGGTTGAGCCGCACAAAATCGAATTTGCTGCTTTGGCATGCTGGCACGGATTTTCGAGCGACACCGGGTGCACTGCGCAGTCTTCGCCCCCACATCCCAACCATGGTGAGGATGGCTCTTCGCCAGGTGGAACGGAATCTGCGCTGCAGTGGGCGCAGAAGGCCCAAATCTCCTTAGGCTGGCAAATGGAGCTGCTTATTTGTGCAACCACAATCGGGCAGCCGCCAGCAAGTGTTCAGCAACCGACCTAACCCTGGCATCAACCCAAGCAACTCCATCAACGCGGGCCTGGTCAACAAGCTGCTCCGCATGCTGCTGACTCAAGTTGTCAGCACAGGTGTTGCCAATCCGGTTCCAAATTGGAGAAGTCGGGTATTGAGCAACGAAAGCCTCCCGGGAAAGGTGTGTCTTCACCTTGTGCAAGTTAACCTCCCGCTGGCTCATGAGGGTGCGAATCTGTGCCCAGACATCAGGGTTGGTGCAATCCAAGCACCTAATGGTCTGAAGGCGCGCGAACCGACGCATGACATAGTCAGCATCAGTCGCTAGCTCAAGGCATACATTTTTATGTAACCCTGAAAGTACTGCCCACAAGGGGATCCCGATTTTTGGCCGAGAGACTACGTAAACTGCATGGCTGCTGCAAGGATGGACAAAAAGTCCGCGCTGGAGGCCTGGACTGCGGACAGCACAGTGAACAGCCGCAGCAACAACACCAGCAGCAGCAAGAGCCGAATAAGAAGAAGCTTCTTTATGGCGGCTGTTACAACAGCTCTCTGGGCCAGGACCTGCAAGTCCCGACGCTGGATGTGGCAGAGCCTGGTCTGGCTGAACTTTCCGGGTCATTTGTCAGCAAGTTCTTTGTGAGCTGGTATTCTCCACTTTGCTTGATTCTGCTGTCGTTGATCCTACAATGGAATTCGTGACGAGCCACTCAGATTAGTGCACCCGCGAGCGTATCTCATGTGGCAGAATTAGAGGAGACAGACAACTTGACAGTCAAAATGTCTGGAACAAGGCTATGATCTTCGGCTGGCGAGGTGTGGGAGTAGGAAGCTGCAGTGAGTACAGGGACTACACAATGCAGCTGCTTTGCCAGGTTGTTGATTGCCCGCCCCCCTGGAAATCTTTAAAATTATCTTGTGGCCTGTGGTGTCACGGCAGGCCAGGGCAGCCTTTGCTAATGCTTTCTGCCCTCGCATTGCCAGGATTTCAAGGGCAGAATTGCTTTGAAGAGCTTACACTTGCATCGTGCCATGACTCTCATGATTTCGCCGTCTTGACATGGCATTGGCAGCTGGGCTTCGGCCAACCTGAAGTTAGGGCTCGGGAGTGTTTGCTGCTTATTCTGCTCCGCATACAACACCCTTCAAAGAAGGGGCAAGGGTTTCAGTATCCCGCCCAGAGGCGTACAGGACATTAGTCCAGCAAGGAGTACTAGCATGCAGCAACCTGGTCAGATTGTATTTGGAGGACAGAACTTGCAAGCTGTAGTTTGACGTGGAGCAAGCAAGCAGGAACAAATGTCCTGTACGAGGCCTCACAACTGCGTCCAGTTTTTCACGTACTGGACAGGCTACCAAAGAATTTTGTTCTTTTTAGCGGTTGTCATCCTGCGGGCCTTGAACTGCCGCTGTTCTCGCGCGGCATGTATTTTGCTAAGAAAGGCTGCGCAGAGTCTCCTTGCGGGGTAACATGCCTTTCTGGGCCATGCGACTGGAATCTTACAAATTTTCTGCAGTTGTTGAGCGCGCCCTTGCATAGGCATTGTTGTGTCCCGCATACTCCGGACAAGGAGTATACTGCCCTCTGGTGCTGTCCAGACGGGCAACTCCAGGCCGAAGAACCGGCAAACGCGTGGCGCAGCGGTGCAGCATGGAAATTGCAGCTTCACATCGTTCACTGCAGGAGACCTTTTCTTCAAGAGTTGGAGTGTCATGCTCTCCCCTGCTGTGCCGGCTTTCCAGTTACAAGTCAGCGGGGCACGTGCCAAAGCCATTCCGACACAGTCTCGGCATTGCAGTTGCTGACATCGGGCCGCTGGCTCGGTCTTTGCTTGCGCATTCTTCCTCTCTGACGAGCAACCAAACATCATAACTCTTGGGTTTCAAATTCCAAGGCCTCCCAGACATGTCAGCACCAGAAGAGGAGGACCGGCTCCTAATCAAGGCTTGCATTCGGCTCATGGAGTGACATCAGGATGTTTAAGCAGTTGCAGGGCTTCAGCCATGTCACCATCCGGTTGGATGTTTGGTCGGATCATGCGATGAACAACAGGATGTAACTGATGCGGCGTAAGCAATCTGACGAAAAGGAGATCGCCACAGCAGACGCTGACGTGGACGAGGAGGCGCGTAACAACTGTTCAGTGACTGCAATTCTATTTCGATCCATTTGGAACATCCGAGCCATCCCTGTTACTTTGACTGCTGTGGCACTCTGTGCTGCCAGCCATATCATGACGAAGATCTGTGTTGCTGTCATCATGTTCATTTAATCGCTAACGCGGGACCACGTCGGCAAGATTAGAGGAGAGCTGCAGCCCCACAAACCCCTTCCAAGCCCCTCCCCCCCCCCGTTCGTGCCCTCTAAAAAGTAGCACACGGAATGCCAGTACAATTGGCCGGGTCCAGCGCAGCAGCAAAGATAGCTTCTTTGACCTCAGCCGTACTCCAGACTCCCCCGCGAATCATGACCGCTGGGAGAGTGTGGGGGGAGGGTTAACTTACTCTCTAAGCAGGCGGATTATGGAGTTGTTCTCACTGTTGTAATCTGTCATATGCTGGTGATTGTGTTCATTTCTATGCGTGACCTCACTAAACCCTAAATAACCGAAATAACCCCTACATAACCCTCTATCCCCTGTAAAGGTACCCCCCATTGCTATTTGCAGGAGGCAGACCATGAGCATGAGGAGGTCGAGGCCGAAGAGCCTGAGGAGGAGCAAGGCGAAGAAGACGAGCCCAGTGGGAGGGCAGGGGACTGAGACATAGGGTTTAGGGTTTGGGGCTTAGGGTTTAGGCTTAGGGCTCAGGGTTTAGTGCTTAGGCTTTAGGGCGCAGGGTTTAGGGTGTAGGGACTGGGACTATCACTTTTGGGTTACCAGAATTAGGTAAGATTATATTAGGGTTATCTTGGGGTAATGTTGGGATAATGGAATAGAAAATGGAAACTACCATTTAGGGGCTAGGGTTTAGGGCTTGTCATGGTTTCAGGGTTTGGGGGTTTCCGGTTATAGGATTTGAGGTTTAGGATTGTATTGTTTCTGGTTCGGAGGGCTGAGTCGTAGGTGGTGGTTCTGGGTTAGGTTAGGGGGAAGAGAAGTATTTTAGGAGTACTAACAGCTTGAAGTGCGCTGCTGAATTTGGCAACGCACAAAAGACTGAAAATGCAAGCCTCTGGTAACCCGAACCCATGAGACGCCCCAACAGACTCACAACGCAAACCAAAGATGTCTGAACAAATCGGCCATAAAAGAGCAAAGCTGGTTCCAGAAAAAGCTCTCTCGGGATGTACCTGCTGCTAGATGAGCAGTTCATGAATGTACAAGCTAGACTGAGGCGTTTTCTGACCTTAGATATTTTAGCTGCTAGACCTTCCACCTTTGCAGCATCTAATAATGTAAAATGTGATAGGAAAAGCATGTTAAGTGGATTTCAGAATGCCAACTGCTAGGAAAACGCATTTCTGCAAATTAACACTTCAGACCTTGTTCAGCATCCGACCTGTTTGCTTGCAGGTTTAAGCTATAAAAAGCCTTGGAGAGAGCTTTTCATTTTACAGTGGAATGCTGAGAGAGAGGTTCTTCTGGCATGTTGCACTCTCAGGGCTAAATAAAGTTATGTCTAGCATCTTCTAGCGTTTTTCATTCGTGAGACGCTTTAGAGAAGTTTTCCTGGCATTTCACAATGTTAGATACACCAGGAGATTCTAGCGCTTGCGCGAAAATGTTTCAGACAGCGTATGTTGAGTTTTGCTGCTTTGCTTTTTTGGAAGCGTTTTAACTTAATGTTTTGCATGTTTTGGTGGCAGCACTTTCCGCTAAGTCTTTCGCGGCCTCTTTGGATCGCGAGCTAGCCTATGATCGCCTAGCCGTTCCTCCCCACCGAGAAGATGGACATTGATAAGTATGGCAAACTAGATAAGTGGGACACAATCCAGGTCTGACTTACTTTGCACAGCACTGTTACTGGTTACTGGTCTAGAACGAGAACTCACTTCCGAAGACCTTTATGTTTCTCCTCTTGCTGCCCAGGCTGCCCCCAAGTCTTCTGGGCGCAAGCCCAAGGCCAAGAGCAAGCCAACGAGGAAAGACCCTTCCAAAGCCAAGAAGGCGAGGCATTGCGGAAGATCTCAAATCCTCTTTCAGGAGTACTGAAGTGCCTGCCCAGGCACCTGTCCGTACAGAGTACAAAGCCGGCATTTGAATCACCGGCCTGTTTTATTGCCGCATAAGATCATGATGGAGACATGGGCGTAGAGGCTTCGTGGCCTCAGCACCTGTTGCAGACTATGCCGCATCCAGGCTTCCCAGTGGCAAAAGTTCGGAATCTGCTCAGGGAGAGTGGCTACGGCCGTTGCTGGGCTTAATTGGCTCCACCAGCTTTCAAGAGTTGAAAACAGAATTGTCCCCCGCAGCTATATGCCAGCCTACCACCCAGGTGTATCACAAGATGCGCCCGTCACCTGAGACAGTCTCAAAAAGCGTCGTTCACTGGGATTGAGTCAGGTCCATCTACCTCACGGGCGTCATGGAGTATGTTGTTGCAGAGATCCTAGAGCTAGCAGGCAACTCCGCAAAGGCCCTCATGCTCAGGAATCTGTGCATTCCCTCGACAAGAATCTTGGCTACTTGCAGGAGCACAAGAAGCAACGCATCATTCCTCGCAACATTCAGCTCGCAATCCGCAATGATGAGGCCAGTATGAGACGGCATGATCAAGAAAAGTTGCAAGATGTGGTAGTAAGGAGCCGCAGCCGCGCTGCAGTGCTTTGGTCAGGAGCTGAACAAGTACATGGCTAACGTCACCATCAAGTCCGGTGGGGCTGCTACCTTGGAGGATGCCCGGAAGAAAAAGTCACCTCAGGGCAGCCCAGCAGCCCAGGTCATTCCGAATATTCACACCGTGCTCATGCCGCAAAAGACCAGTGCTAAAGGCATAGAGTCGGCTTGCTCTGCTGGTAACATGTGTGGAACAGGGATTCCTGTACGAAGGTGTCAGCGCAGGCTCCCACTCCCAGGAGTACTGAGGACAGCTGGTGGACACGACATGCTTCCTGATTTGCACCAGAGATTCGACAAACTTCAAGCATGTGGCCACTGATAGGCATGAAGCATGCGAAGTCCAAGCCAAAAGCCAATTGATGAAGTCTAGATGCACACACTATGTCACACATTGCAGGTGTGGCGCCCGTGTCACTGTTAGCTGCGCCGCTTGGGGTTCGTACGCGCATTCGCAGTGCCAGGAACTCACCAAGCAAAGCGTTGAGAGCAGAAGTCGGTACAGCTAACGCAGCTACCAGTCGCTTACCGTCTAAGGCACTGCGCCTCATGATTGGGATGGAACAATCCCACCGCCTGGCCCTCTTTCTGCGCTTGCTGGAGCATGAAAGCTGTCAGCCTGCATTTAATCGGGGCCCACAAATTGTCAGCAGCGTTACAAAAAATCTGGCTTCAAATATGCAATCAAGCCGTGGCCTGTCACCTGAACTGAACATGGCAATAGTGGCCATCGAAGGAACATTCTGCTTTTCGGAGGGCCCCTTGTAGATATTGTGAAGTGGATGAATCCTGGCAGTGTTTTTCACCTCTCAGCGCAAGACAGTGCGGCCTTGAGCGTGACGGAGTAAATCTCCACATGCCAGAAACATGCGCGCCAAAAGAAGTAGAACGGGGCAGCATGGACTGGCCTGTCCGTTTTGCATACTTCCTGCATACTCCGCAGGCTGATGCTTTGAGACCAAGAGGATATGGGGTTAGGCCAAGACTGATACTACTCAACACACCTCTGCCATCCTCGAGATCAAGTCAGCATGTCTATCCAATCTGCTTTCGCGCAATTGTAGAGCCTAGCCGCTGTCTTTGTACCGGCAAGTGTTCTGTTATGCATGCGCATGTTGCAGTGCGTCACCCACACGCTAGGGATCTACTGTCAAGAATTAGCAGAAGAGTTTTGTTGCAGCCATGCGCAGACCAGCTCCCTCAATTTTGAGGTCCTGCGTGCATCGGCGTTTTGGCATCAGTTTTGTTGGATGCAGGAGTCAGCCTGCTGTCCGTTGTTTTTCTACGGACCAGCTGTGGAGAGGTGTGCGCTCTACCAGCTTCAGCAACAGCCTGGATTTCAAAGATGGGTCCGAAAGCACGTTCCCCGTTTTTCGAGTTCTAAATGCTATGGGAGAACTTGATTCAGGAGTTGAGCTCCCGTTCTCCATGGACGAGGGAGTTGAGATGATGCGAATGATGATAAAGTCCAAAGTATACGATGACGTCTTGATGACCATGCAGCGGCAAGGGCGGATTAGTTTTTACTGCACCAATTATGGAGAGGAGGCAACCAGTGTAGGAACAGCAGCAGCTCTGAAGTCTCAAGATATGATTTGGCCTCAATATCGAGAACTTGGGGCCTTTCTGTGGAGAGGCCTGACAGCACAGGAGATTGCTGACCAGAACATTGGTAATGAAGGTGATCGAAGCAAGGGGCGAAACTTGCAGGTCCATTATTGCATGTTGGAAAAGAACATGCAGACGGTGCATGCAGTGTTAGGTACTCAGATCCCTCAAGCCCCAGGTGCAGGGTATGCTTACAAGCTAGACAAGGAGGACCGTGTCTCTGTAGCATACTTTGGCGATGGAGCGGCATCTGAAGGCGATGCATTTACTGGCTTCAACTTTGCTTCCGTTTATGGTGCACAGACCCTGTTCATTTGCCGAAACAATGGCTATTCCATTTCTACTGGGGTGGAGGACCAGTACAAGGGGGATGGCATTGCTGCACGTGGACCGGCACTGGCCATACCCACCATCCGCGTTGATGGGAATGACTTGGTTGCAGTGTACATTGCCACGCAGGCAGCACGGAAAAAGTGCGTGGAAGAGAAGACGCCAATACTTCTGGAGCTCATGACCTACCGCGTTGGTGACCACACTACTTCGGATGATTCTTCCGCTTACCGCAAGGAGGACAAGGAAGAGGTCAAGAGATTATCGGGTGTTGGGCCACTACCCCGCTGGAAAAAGTTTCTGGAATCCAGGGGGATGTGGGATGATGAGAAGACCAAGGAGGTGGAAGTAGCCGCACGGGAAGAGATGCTTCAGGCCATGAAAGCGGGCGAGGCGAAGAAGAAGCCGCCCCTGCGTGAGCTTTTTACTGATGTTTTCAGCGACCTGCCGTGGCATCTGGAGGAACAGGCAGCGTATGCAGAGCAGCATTGTCGTGAGTACAGCAGCAGCTACAACATGCACACGGTAAGAGGGCTGGACGGCCCAGCTCCGAGTGCCGATCCAAAGCGAATAGCCTCTGCTCCCAGGGTTCTGCCTCCTGCTCCTCGAGGGGAGGCCAAAGAGACGACCATGGTGCAGGCAATCAATGATGCCCTCTCCATTGCTTTGGCCTCAGACAGCCGCTCTGTCCTCTTCGGTGAGGATGTCGCCTTCGGTGGCGTGTTCCGCTGCTCCGTGGGTTTGAGAGACAAGTATGGCGAAGATAGAGTTCTGAATGCCCCCGTCGCAGAACAGGCTATCGCAGCTTTCGCAGTAGGTTTGTCAGTAGCAGGCTACAAGGCGATCGCGGAGATCCAGTTTGCTGATTACATCTTCCCGGCATTTGACCAAATTGTCAACGAAATTGCAAAGTCTGGCCCCCAGCCCAAGCCTAAGTGAGAAAGAGCTCCAGGCTCATAAAGTTGAAAGCTGAGGTATCGGTACCGGAACGCAGGTGGTGGTGCTGGGAACATCACTATTCGAGCTCCTTGCTCTGCAGTGGGGCATGGAAGCATGTACCACAGCCAGAGCGCTGGACCCTCAGTCTCAGCTGTGGACCACGAGGGGAGGATCTGTGATGCAGCGGCAGCTGGAGAAGTGCTGAGGTGGAGTCCTATTTTGCCCATTGTCCCGGCTTGAAGATCGTCATCCCGCGCGGACCGAAGCAGGCCAAGGGACTGCTTCTAGCGGCCATCCGAGATCCCGATCCTGAGACTTGCCTCAAGCATCTTCCTTCCTTTTTTGTTGAAACCAAAGAGCAACAGATGGCAAGCTCCAGGGTCTCCAGGCCCTTAGGCAAGATGCATCACGTGTGCCAAGGTTCTCTTCTTTGAGCCCAAGGTCCTATACCGAGCTCGAATCGAAGGACAGCCCTCATGGCCATGCTCCAACTAATTGTAGCCTGTGTGCCGCAAAAATCATGAGGGATGATGGTATGTCACGCGGGTCCAACTCCCAGATTTGCGCGATTTACCTGTGCTTCGCTGGTTTCAAATCATTTGTCCGTAAGAGTCCACCCGCCTTGTCACCAAACGCCTGGACATTTCCGGGTGTTGTGGGCATTCACAGGCCTGTCTTTGCACAACCGCTCCTGCCACCATCACATTATGTAAGTCTGGGCTGGAGCAGCAATTGCAAACTAACTCGATCATCGGGGTTGATCGTGCGCATTTGGGTAGGACCCGATGGCCAAGTGCCGGTCGAGGATTACGAGCTTCCGATTGGGCAGGCTGAAGTAGTGCAGGAAGGAACAGATGATGCTTGGCTGCAGGTTTGTTGCTGATGTAACTCTGGAGTCGGTCATGGAATCGCACTGGAAACTTCACCAGAGAAAAGGAGCTTCATGCATGCTGCAGACGCTGCAAGGTCACTCTTGTCGGATGGGGGTCACAGATTGGCCGCCTACAGGCCGGCTCAAGTAGCGGAGTTGGTTTCCATATTAATGTCTACTTGGATTTGTGCCTCGAATCTCTTTTCGGCATGGCATTGGGCAGGCAGCTGCCGCAAAGGCAGCCGAAGAAGGGATTTCCTGCGAGGCAATCTCAGGGCCTGAACATACTGCATCACATGTCAATGTAGACTCCTGCGCGCCCAGTTTTCCAGAATTCTATACTATGTTACTACAATATTATAGTATACCGTATACCATTATAAAGTGTGTTATTCTACGATACACTATATCATATTGTAGTGGATTCCGTCTGCTCTGTCTCATGGTTTGAAACAGGATTTGGTGAACAAGCCCTGCTTCCCAAATCAACAGATCAACATTCTCTTCCACGCCTTTGCTCTTAGGTTGTCGACCTACAAACCATCATCCCATGGGATGTGGATACCGTGCAGGCAAACTGCTGCAGTTTGAACTGCTGGAAGCTGTTTTCAGTGTCCCTGGTATGGGTGCAGCCACATGACGCGGAAACTCGAGGAGCATTGACATTTCAGGTTAATTGGTTGTTGCCATTGATACCGAAACTGATCATGCCTTCCCGTAACCTGTCAAAACCTTGTTACTGATGTAGGGGGGCCTAAGTCTCAGCAGCATCCAGTAGCATGGGGTCAGATTCACACTTGCACAGGCCTCGGTGGAGAAGACCGGGCGCCTCATCATCGCACATGAAGTGCGCCCCTGGAAGCAGTCGATTGCGATAACACCTTGTCGGGGTATCCCGCAGGCCCCTCAAACCAACGGCTTCGGCGCCGAGATTTCGGCCAAAATCCAGGACGACGGGTGGAAGCAACTGCAAGTGACCGCACTCCTCCTTTTGCATAGTTCGGTGCTTTGGGCCGAAGGTTGTGAGGATGGCGTTTTGATGTAATGCTTTTACGTGCAGGAGCGCTGCTTTCTTCACCTGCAGAGCCCAATCCAGAGAGTATGCGGATTGGAGCTTACCTGTCTGAATCGCACAAGGATGAGAGAGTCATGAGTAAGTAAACGTGTGGAAAGCTAGAGCTTCCTGCTTTGAACTGGCCTCAGGTTTTGACACCCACTTCCCCTACGCCTGGGAGGCACTGCTTCGCATCCATAATCTGCTGCCTCAGTTTCTTGTGTGCGTTGGCTGAAGGACTGGAGAGTTCACGAACCATCAGCCTTTTCATTTGATTCAGGAGTTTTACGTGCCTTCGGCTTCGAGGGTCCTGGCTGCAATCAAGGCTCGCCCGAGCTTTATCAAGACTCCGTGACAGCTTAGCAGCCTAGCGCATGTTGTGTTTCCCGCAATTTGTGACATGAAGTCCTTGACTGGAGCCGTTGCCTGGACCACTGTCGGACTAGCTGGGATAATATACTTGCAGGCCAGCGTTTCCTTCTGAAGCTGCATTTCTTCAACGCTTGGGACTCAGCTTACAAGTAAGGGACACGGCATGAGCCATGTGAGTCATGCCCCGGGACATGAACACCAAGGCGGCAGCTAGCCACGCAATCCTCGGCCCCTTCCTCTGCTCCACTACGCGAATCAGAGGAGCAAAAAGATGTTACATGGCAGAACGAGGACTTAGAAAGACTTATGCAAATCAAGCTCTGTTTCGGCATGCTTTGTCCCTTGCTCGGCTGCTCAAAAACAGTCGCTAGCCAGCGTCCAACAGCATAGCAGTAGCAGTCACCTGCCCCAGTTTCTCCCTCGGCAATCCGCAGCCATGTATCAGCAAGCAGCGATGTGCCTTGGCCGGGATGAGAGTAAGTTTCTTACTGGGCTTTATTTCTTTCCAGTTGCAAGGGAGGCTTGTGCCAGGTTGCTGGATGATCCGGCCACCCGATCCTCGATGGTCTCATTGGAGCCTCCAAAGCCCGACTCCTTCAACCGCAACTTGGTGAACTTCAGCCCCGCTTCATCAGCTGTCGAGCGAAGCTTCATCAGCGATCAGCGCACGAAGCAGAACACTGCAACACGTGGTAAAGTCACCGCTGCCAGCAGGTGCTCTCACCATCTCTCACCTCTCTGCAAGCATACGTCATGGTTGGGCTTGCATACCCAGCAACGCACCAGCAAGTCTTTGGGACAACTGAACCAGGAATGGCAGCAGCCCCTGCCACTAATCCTCCTAGGACTGGCGGTCCAAAACGGGCGTCCTATTTGGAAACAGCGAATCAAGTAGAATTTCTTTGACTTCGACATAGTCTGCTGTGGAGTGGCTGTCGCAGGTAAGTGCAAAATAATTTGCACAATGGGACCGTGCTGCTGGGATGTGGACATGCTGACAAAGCTAATTGAGTCTCGGCAATTCCATAATGCATCGAGTCGCGTAGAAACAGCGTCTCAGAGTACGTACAGTGCTGGCGCACGTGGGCAAAGTCAGAACTGCCTCCTCAGGATCAGGGCATGAACATTGCTCGTCTGAACTTCTCTCATGGAGACCATGAGGCATACCAGCTTACAAGCAACTTTTGTAGAATCTTCTGCACACCTTGCGTCTCCCGAGCAGCAAGTTCCTGTGCAGGGCCATGGCAAGACTGTTGGCCGGGTCCGCGAGGCGTGCTTCTACTGTAGTCAGTAATCGTAATCACGAGAGTACTAGCATTGATAGTACTAGTAATCGTATAACAATATAATAGTAGAATAGTAGCGCTGAGCTCAGAGTCTCAAAGATTGGAGGAAGCAAACCGCGAGGCCTCAAAGCTGCGCCCTGACAAGCCAGTGGGCATTCTCCTCGACACGAAGGCCTGAAATCAGTTCAAGACTATATGGAGGGGTTATCTGGGAATGATGGAAAAGAGCATGGAAGCTACAACATTGTAATGGGGTGTAAAGGCTTTTGCCACATCTTGCACGGAAGGTTGCATCCAATAAAACTCGAAACTGCAGGCTTCAGACTGTCGTGTGTAGAGCCCTTTTCAGCCTCAGGGCCCGGAGATCCGAACGGGCTTTTTCAAGGACCGTGCTACATGATGCAGTGATCACATGCTTCAAATAGGTACCCACATGGTTTCCTGACAGGAGGAACTGGCAGGTGGGAAGATCAATCTCAAAGAAGGGCAGGACTTGAAGCTGGTGACAGATTACAGCTTCAAGGCCTTTTGAGAGGGTTCGAAAGTCAGATGTGGTGATCTGTCTTGGAGCTTAACGCCATGAGACGCGTGCACTGATGCTCCTTGGCCCCCTGCGGCGTAAGCAACCAGATCTTTCCGCATGCAGCATGCGCTTGCCTCAGGGCGACGACAAGACGCTGGCGGTGTCGTACGTGACGCTTCCCACTGCTGTCAAGCCAGGCACGGGGTGCTGGGTCAATAGCGTTGACCCAACGTAGCGGTCCCCGAAAGCAAGATGATCAGAGCAGTCCCCTCCCAAATCGTCAGAGCGGTTGTGCTTTGTCTTGTAGCCAGACCAGACTGCACAGGTCAGATCATTCTTGCCGCAGATGGGTCGCTCTCGCTGAAAGTCAAGAGCTGTGGCAGCGACCACGTCATCACCGAGGTGCTGTAACAGTATGTCATGACGCAGTCTGGCCACGCTGTGGACCCCTTGCAAAGTGCACGTGGTACTCGTGAGATCTCAAACTCCTAAGTTCCTGGAACATCAGCTGCATGGAAGGTGATGAACGACATTGCCATTGGCGAGAAGAAGAACATGAATCTCCCGGGAGTTAAGGTTGAGCTGCCGGTGCTCCAGGCAAGCCGTTGGCTTCTTGCAGGGTAGCTCAGCAGTTTACAGGCAGGCCTGTGTTGAAGGACTTTGTAGCGGTTTGGTTCGGGGGGCCGTGCAGCACCATGACACCTGAACTCCAAAAAGCTGCAAAAAAGACGTCACGCATGCAGGAGAAGGACAAGAAGGACCTGCTTGAGTTCGGCATTCCACAGGCGCAATCACTGAAGCTTCCGTCTGCGGAGATAGGCAGCACATTCAATTTCCCAGGGCGTGGACTTCGTTGCAGCCAGTTTCGTCCAGGCAGGTGGTGCTGGTGGTAGCACCCTATCAACCGTTAACCCACGCTCTATACGGCTTCATCTCAGTGCAGTCCGCGCAGGATGCAAAGGACGTGAAGCTGATTCGGGACACCTTGGGGATGCGAGGGCGCCAGATGAAGATCATTGCGACGCCCGCCTTTTCCGATTTCGGTCATACGGTTTTAATGCACGGGCAACCGCACTATGTTAAGACCCTGGCGATGCTGCTCAGGAAGATTGAGAACCAGGAAGGAATCAACAACATTGATGAGATCGTGGACGCAACTGATGGAGTCATGGTTGCCCGCAATGGCCCCAGAGCCATTTCATAGACTGGCGCAGCTACAGCGGTATTCCTCATTTTAGTCAGGTGGTGATATGGGCATGGAGATTGATATTGAGAAGGTTGGACTTGTGCAGAAGCTTGGCTTGCAGGTCATCCTGCAACTGATCACCTGCTTGCAGTTTTGGTTAGCTCTCGCAGCCCTTGCAGCCGTCAAGGAAGATGATTATCGCCAAGTGCAACCTCAAGGGCAGCAGGGCATAATTTTGTGTCCGGCTTTAGGTCAGGATTGCGACCCCCGCATCTTGCATCCCACACGACTTGCACAGCCATAGCATCAAACAAGTAAAGATGGGTAAGCTTTCCTGGCTCACGAAGGCAAGTTCGCCATCACTGCAACCCAGATGCTGGACTCGATGGAGCGCGCGCCCAGGCCAACCCGCGCTGAGGCCACAGACGCAGCTTGGCAAGCCATTCAGAAGTCTGGCCTCATCGGGCGTGACTTGAGATTGCCATGCTTAAGGTACTGAATGCTATCCTGGATGGCTCTGATGTGGTCATGCTCTCCGGGGAGACGGCTAATGGCAAGTTCCCAGAGCTCGCGGTGATGACAATGAGAAGAATTTGCGAGCAAGCAGAGTCTGTGATCGACTACAAGGCTTCACACTGCGATGGTCAGAGTTGGTAGCGACGTCCAAAATCCTCCTCATGTGGCATCTGAAATTTCCCCAGGCGCTGTACTTGCGAATAAGAATGGCAGTGCTGGATTCTGAGCGCTCCATGTGCCCTGTGCCTGCCCAAGCTTTGGCTCTCGAAACAAGCTGGTAGGCTGCAGTCAGCTAAGCAACGTCAACCTGATGCTCAAACGCAAAATGTCTGAGGTGGAGTCTGTCTGCTCATCTGCCGTCAAGACAGTGGTGGACGCGAACTGCAGCTCGCCTTCCACTAGCCAAGTAATCATCAAGCAGCGGTGAATCGAATAATCGGGGGGGGGGGTTCTTCCGCTATACTCACTGTCGAATTTTGGCGTGCTATATTATATTTATTATATGGTAGCAACTCAACGTCAGGCAAGTTGATCATCTCCCTGACGGAGACTGGACACACGGCCCGAGTGATCTCCAAGTACCGTCCTTCTGTTCCCATCCTCGTGGCTTGGTCTGCAGTTGGGCAAACCCTCCTTCACGCTGTGCTGTATGGGCCAAAACATGAAAGCCCCTGGCCAAGGCCATTACTGCCAGCGAGACGACTCTGCGCCAGCTTGTGGCCCACCGCGGAGTTTCTCAGCGGCACGAATACTGACTAAGAATGAGTCAAGGTTTTAGAACGCCTCTGTTGCGAGCACTCGTGGCATATAGCTGTAAAAAAAACACTTCGGGCTTTTGCGGCCTCGAAGGTTAGTCATAATCTTCGAGCGGGTGTATTCCTTGCAAGTTGACATCCTGGAATTAGTAGCATGTTGCATTTGAAATTTGAGAGCAACAGTAATCTGCCGGTTCTTTGAACGCTTCGGATTTCAGGTGGTGCCTATTCTGACAGCCTCCTTCCAGGGCACAGATTCTGTCATCAACAAAGCCTTGGCGAGGGCCAAGGCACCGGAAGCTGCACCCGCAAAGTCCTGTGACCTTGAGATTGTGGGAAGCCGCCACTGCAAGGAGCTTGGCATGGTGAAGCCTGGAGAAACCGTAGTGGCAATCCATGGACAGCGCGAGGAGTGCCCAGGCACCCTTTGCAGAAGCTGCTCGCAGCAGGGTATCAACGGCCTTTTTAAGCTGAGCTTGACCCCTGCATGTCCGACCTTACTGAAGCTTGCAGCAGTGTCTCGTGTCTCTATGTCAGCTGCATGTTCATAAGAATTGTACTTTGTGCGCACAGCAGATTGTAGGCCAGTCGAACCTCATGAAGGTTGTTGCGGCCTTAGCTCTTGCTGCTGTTCAAGGTCCTGTGTGCTGCCATTTCCTGACTATTCAGGTGGTGTGCCCCTGAGCCCCAAAAGGGAGGCCGATGCTTTGATGCTGTTTAAGCGAAAGTGCGACCACTGCAGGGCGCAACGGTGTGTGAATGCTTTTGCGTCTGGAATCATGGCATATACCATGTCCCATGCCAGCACTGAGAAATACTCAATCCAATCACAGCTGCGCCTTGCTCCAATTTAGGACAGGCCACGGTTGTCAGGATCTCTTGCGCGAGAGTTCAGGCCGAGCCTGACTTTCCCCGATCTTTCAATCCTTCTCCCCAGCTCCTGTTTTCCAATCTTCTAGTATGGCGGGGCCGCAATGGCCTTGTGATGTGCTGTTTCGGTGACAAGTTTATCAGCAAGTCTGTCCACCTTGTAGCACGTCCATTGGCCGCCAATTTCGAAAGACCCACTGGCGATGGTGACGGGGAGCCGGCAATAAAAACTATTTGAAAGCAGGATTCTATCAGCAGGTGCGATGCTGCTCAGCTATTTTGCACGAAGTTCCCTAGAAGCAATTCTTATGGCCAAACAAGCTGCAGGGCTTCCAGCACAGCTTATTCTGCAAGGCTGCTTGGTTGTTCTTGAAAGACCAGCATTGCCGCGGTTCGGACAGAGAAGAGGTAGGTGCTGCAGTGCCCTCATGGTTCCAGGTAAAGAGGCATTCCAGCTTCTGGACTCCAGGTTTCCAGCCGCGATCTCCACGCAGCAAAGAGCCAACCTAGCCACTCAGAGCAGCATACTCCGTTCAAAATGAATAGCTTATTGCTCCAACTGCAAGACGAATTAACCCTAAACCCTCTACTTGCAAGCGAGCATGCTGGGCTTCGCTCAGCCAGCTACACGTGCAGCACCTCGGCCATCGGGTGCTTGTTCTTACCTTTGATTAGGTAGGAATGACGGAATGGATCCCTGTAGTAGTCCTTATAGAACTCATTATAGTAGATTCCATTTTTCTTCTCCATTCCTTCATGAAGGTACGGTACGCGTGTAAACTCCATATGGTAGTTTCCCAAATAGGGACCCCAATTCAATCCCCAATATACTATAATCCATAATCCTTGTTATGGGGAGGACCTCAAAACGGTACCCTTAATTATGGGAAAGACCCATGTCTTCCTTGCGTTCCGGTCTCGTTGCTGGATTTGCAGGCATCTGTTTGCCGTGACCTCCCTTGCAGATCGGCAGTAAGGTGTATTTTTGGATTTGGTTAGTTCCCAAAATTAGGGTCCCATCTTTGGTACCCTAGATATTAGGTGCCGTTATTATATTATTTATAACCAACAGGGGCCCATGGTTTTGACAGCAACCCATTTTGTGACCACAGGAGCCGAGGATCAGATATCCGCAGCATGCTAGTTGCGGCAAGCAGGGGTGGCACGGAAAGTTGCATCATATCATTTGCTTTGATAGGAAAGTGCTGGAGAGAGCAAATGCACAAGAATGGCTGTCCGTCAGCATGACTCTGCTCCCGTCTTCAAAGCTATGCAAGAGCCCTGTGCCTCACTATGCCAACTGGCGTTCTTTCAGACTTGAAATCGAACATACAGATGGATCCTTGGATGAGGGGCCTCAAAGTGGATGCTAGGTAGCACCGATGCCGCCGCGACAGAGCATGGCTGGAAGGACGTCAATAGTCCGTTCAACACGGGAAGGCCCATGAGTTGATGGATTCGGCAGGGTGTTGAGCAAGTGTCCAGCGTCGCAAGCTGCCAGCATGTTGCAAGCTGGTCGACTATTTGACAAGGTGACCTTTCATTCCTTCAAACTATTTTCAATCGTCTCTGATGAAGAGCCATCTAGGCTGAATGTGGTCGTGATGGTACTCCTGGGGCTTGAGCTAGAGTCCAGAATGAAGCGCCTGTAGTACACAATCCCTCCAGCGCTCCGTGGGTAGTTGCTGCAGCAGTTGTTCTTGGCTTTACATCTTGGCATTTTCCCACTGCTTCAGCCCCCTACGTCCCTTTCAGGCAGTGTCGCCGCGTTCCACACATCCTGCTAACCAGGTAAAGCAATACTCTTTTAGCGTTCGAACCTGCCACATCAATTTGCGTGTGGATTTTTTGAGCTCGTCAGGAGGCTTGTTGACGCTCGATATGCCAGACGATGTACGCCTAAATTGTCAGCTTTCTGCGTGCAGGTTTCGCTGGGCTGCGCCTTGCCGCAGCTTCCGGCATGGAGCTCAATGCCTGCCTGATTTTGTGGTCTGTGCAGCGGACAAGTTGAAAACAGCGTCAGTTGCTCCGGCTAGAACTTGAGCCCATGTGAGCCCTGAAGTGGCCTGGATCTGAGGCCTACTGACTATGGGGCATGCCGTGAAGACGCTGCTCCCAAGAAAAGCCAGGGGAGGAATGAGAAGAACTCAGCGCAAGCTTGAAGTGCAGCAGTTCGAGAACCTTCCGTACCAGTACCAGCAGATGCCACCTTTGTCCAAAAGGCAGGATTTCCGGATTTTGCGGACAGTTCTGGTTCGGCAGCCTCCACGCGAGTCACCAATTGCCTTGGTGGACTGTGGGAGCGGCTCGACGCGGGCACTGTTCTTCCAAGACGACGGCAAATCACATGTGTCCTGGGAGAAGTCTGCATGGAGAGGCTCTGAGCGTTTCTTTTTTTAGATCGATTTGCAACTTGCACATCAGATCCTTGTCACCGTTGTTCGGCTTACTGATGGAATCTGTGGCCGCGCTGCAGGTGAGGCACTCGCATCGGCATTGCAGGACGAGCTTCGTCTGGAGAATTTGTTGCGACTGCTTCAACAGGCCGGATGCAGAGAAGCTGCCAGCTTGTCTTGTCACTATGTCAGCTGCCGTATGCCTACCCTCAGGGTTTTGACTCGATGGCTTAGCAGATAATACCCCTCACGCTTCCACCACAACTTTGGACACCTACAGACACATCGCCATGGTGAGGATGGAAGATGGAAAGCATATGCAACCATACGGCAAGATATGGTAGTTTCCCAAATTATAGGACCGCAATATAGACCCAAACTGCTGTAATCTGCATTATAGGGACCCCCAAAAGGGTACCCCTAATTTTAGGAATCCCAGATTGTCAGGAGTTGCCAGACGGTATGGTGCTTCTCGGCGCGACAGCCGGAGTTCGCGAGGCTGTGCAGGACTGGCAAACTCAGGGGACCAGTTTGGGAGCTGCGCAACACCTACATCTGAGCTACAGTCTAAACTCCTTAAAGGGAGTTATACAGGGGACTACTATAGGAATTATGAAGGAGGATAATCGGAGTTTAGACTATAGCTCATTTCAGGCGATGAACTTCTTGTGTTAGGAGGCTGTTGGAGTTTACCGGCAGCTTTGCCTGGTTGCTAGAATTGCCTCAGCATCTCTGCTAGTGGCAGGAATCCCGTCCCAAATGCTGTCTTACAGAAGCCAAGCCCAGAGTAGCTGCTGCGGATGTGACATGCGCATGCTGAAAGCATGAAGCCCAGGTTGGCAATGTGGGTTTGCTTTCATGAAGTCAACAGCTGGCCTGGAAGGATGGCAGTCTCGACCATGAGCAGCTAATGCGCTTCCAACAACGAGTCCGAGAGTGTCTGGGATCCCGCGCCCAGTTCATGGTCTTGAGTGGAGCAGAAGAAGCCCCTTGACATGACACAGGTGCAATGCATAAATCAGTGCCGGTGCTGACACCTGCACAGGCTAGAGCCGAGTGGGAAGCGCTCCAGCATGCGTTGATGTTCACTCCCGGCTTGAATGCTGGGCTCTTCACCGGGATGATGTCTGGAGGTGGAATGTCGTGCCAACTTGCAGTGCAACTCTGAACTGCATAGTCCATGCAAGTCAGGAACATCTCCGTGAGTGTGACAGCACATCTGTTTGTCCAGACCTGTAGCGCTGAGGCAACGCAGTGACGCAGATGCTGACGTAGCCCTGTTCAGCTTCCGCAACGGAGTGCTTGCTCCAGGCGTGCCCCAGGGTAGGTGGAGTGCTTGGAAATAGGAAGGCAGGTGCCAAGCAGACACCATTTCTTCAACAGGTCAAGTGAACAGCCCAAGAGTCCAGGAGAGAAGCTCCATGGATTTTGGTCAGAAGTGTGCAAGAATGCTGAAGTTTCGCCGGACACAATGAACCCGGGCGGCTCTTCCATCCCAAGATCTTAGAACGAGAGAAGAAAAAACATCAGCCACAGGAGGATGGACTCCTGTGCCACCTCAGGACTGTGTTGGGGTGGGCGAGTCGGGAGACAGGAGACGGAGGGGGCCAGGGAAATTGTAAAGCAGCCTGGCATGCTGGTTCCACACGCCCCTGCGAATCACTGCAGCAATTCTGCAACAATATTTTCATATTCCCAATTCGCTGTTTCACTGTGTGTGACGCAGTGCTGGCCGCAGGAGGCATGGCAGAGGAGGCCGGCCAGAACTTGCTCTTCGCTGCCGATATGCCAGCCAAACTGGCAGAGGCAAGGACCACGGCCAAGCAGCAGGTGGAGAGACTTCCCAGTCAACTGCGGGGTTCGTTTGCTTTAGTCGAGTGGTTGGGCTTGTATGTAGCTGGCGAGTCCACAGAAAGGGATTTGCTTATGGGCCTTGGTTACAATCGCTGGTTGCAGCACCACGAGATTCTGGAAGCAGTCAACTGCCACTTGGATGACTTGAATCATCGTTTCCTGCAACATGGACGATCAGAATCAGAGCCCATTCCTCGGCGAGTGGCAATCTCCTGGCTGTACGGCACGATCTTGCAAGAAATTCTCCGGCATTGCTTTGACGAAAGTGCTTCTTTCTATTGCCTGAAGGGCATAAACTGGAGCACCGGGCACTACTTGCAGCATCGTAATGCTCTGCGGCATAACGTTCTCCAGACCAGCTAGGGCAGTGCGTGCAATCGTGCTGAAACCGCACGTTGCGTGTTTTTGCATTGTTTGTACGAGGATGCTCCGCGCAGATCCCAAAACTCTCCGAGAATCCTAGCTGAAAGCTAGTGGCTCGCGCATTTTTTGTATATAAGCAGTAGTAGTGATGATGTGGCTTCCAAGTGCGCTTGTCCCTTGCAGTAGGGGGTGCAAAGGAAGCCACCGATGACTTTTAAACTTGACATTTTCTGGCCTTGAAGCGCGCGTACTTGCTGCGTATTGACTAGTTAACGTTGATGTTAGATGGTACGCTAATGGGTTATGTAGGGGCTATATGAGGCTTTATATGGGATATGTTGGGATAATGGAAAAGACATGGAAACTACTACGTAATGTACTGTAGATGTTCCTTGTTCTGCTACTCGCGCATGCTTCAGGGACAAGTGTAGAAAAATTTGAATTTGAGCAGAGGCAATCCCGGTTAGTGCGTGGATCCATGTTGAGTTCACAATATAAGCAATCAGCCAATCTAAATGGCTTGAAGCAAGAACCAGGCTCAGACAGACCCTGCACGTCAACCCAAGGCCGCGCGAAGATGTTATCTGAATCTGAAGGAGTCATGAGTTTACACTACCAGAGTACACAAGCTACAGTAGCAGTTTCCCAACCAGGCCCCAGTGATCTGCGTCAGATTCAGAGCTGATCCTGTAGATCAAGGCACGCTGCAGCTTAGCAGATAAGAATGCTGAGCTGGTGCAGGCACAGCAGCCTTGAGTAGCCTGGCAAGATTTTCGTTTGCGCTCGGATAGTCATGGTGCATAGTCTGGGCGCAGAACCCGTCCAGCCCTGCCTTTCATAGCAGCGGCTGGAGCCTTGCCAAGAGGCTCAAGGCCTTGCTGGCGTAGAAATTTTCATCTTTGCTTGAGCGAAGGCAAGATGACACAGCGGCGTGTCCTTCGCTTTTTCCGGCCAAAATACGCTACCTGAAGGCTTCATGACCGCTAAGCCAGCGGAGGAGCGCAGGATTGTCCTCGCATTGCTTGCTCATGCAAGCCAACAGCAGTTTGACCAAGTGCAGTCTTGGAGACGGTTGTTAAACCATCATCCTTTTCGAGGCTGGCAGCAAACAAAGTCTTGTAACCGTCCCAAGCATGCAACAACATTCTCTAGTAAGACAAGGGCTAAAAAGGGGCAGCTGCAGAGAATCTGCAACACCTAGTTCACAGTGCTCCGGCTCGCATCAAAAGCGTATCAACTGCAAAAGGATGCAACACGCAGTTGCCCATCTGCATGTGTGCCCCGGCTGTTTTTGCCGGCTCTCATCAACCCTGGCCTGCGCAGCCATGACCCAACTCATACACGACAAATCAACCTACAGCATCAAGACCATTCCAAGGAGGCTACGCCGAGTCAACAGTTCCAAGAGCTGTAATGCAATGTCTTTGAAGCAGCCATATACAGAAGAAAGTCACATTGTGTCGCACGCACATCTCAAAGCCAACAATCATGGTGCTTGACTACTCGAAGTGGGACAAACTGGACACTTCGGACGAGGACGTCCCCGCGAAGCCACCGATCAGGGTGGAGCAGGCCTTGGGCCTAACCATGCTGATGTAATCTAAACTCCTAGAGTATCCCCCTTAATAACCCCTATAATACTTCCCCATATAAAACCCCTTTAAGGAGTTTAGACAGTAGTTCATATGTCCGTATTGCAGCTTCAAGCATCCACTGCAGCTTATATCGGAGGTTCCAAAGAAGAATCCTGCGCCAAAGCGCAAACTCCAGCCCTGGGATTACCATCCTGCCAAGTCGCTGCACAAGGACTGGTCTTGACATGAACTGTGATTTAAACTCCTTGAAGGGGTGTGTAAATTTATGTGTATATATATACATATATATGGGATTCTATGGGGAGTAGTATAGGAGTTATTCAGGGGGACACTAGGGGTTTGACTATGGCTCATATGGGGTCGCTGTACTGGGTTCACGTAGTTTTGGGTTCAGGGTATGGCTGTCACTATCTTTCAGTACTGCGAATGCAGTAGAACCTGACTCTTGCCCTCCCTCCTAACACACAGGAGGAAGGCTGCAAGGATACGGAATAGACAACAAAAAGGACAGATGTAGCACTGGAACTTCAAGGCCTAGGTAGCAAGCCAATGTGCAAAGTCAACCAAGATTGGGAGGACTTGTTCGAGCCGGACCATTGGGAGCGTTGGGTCCATCCATCGCTGCTAAAGGTTATATCTACATGGCAGAAGCAAAAGGAAGCCGGAGACACAAGCTTCTCCTGCGCCTTTGGGTGGATTCTACTCGATCTTGTTGACTTGCATGGCTGCAGCCCGCTCCCTTGCACCCTAGATCTCTGAGGTGTTGATCTTGAGAAGTTCGATGGCTTCCGTGTCGAAGCGCCAGGAATATTCAGCTTTCCAGCGCTCACAGACGAGTTTTGCGATATTCTCTTGGAGGCCAGGGGCATTGCATGAAAAGCAAAAAAAGCGGGGGAGTCCAGTGGATCAGCTTGATCTGGAGGAAGTGCGAAACTATCGTGGAAGCGGCCTCCCGTCGCGGGCACCAAACAGCATGAACAACTACGGCCTGGTATTGAATGAGCGCCTTGGTCTTCAATCGAGTCTGCTCTGAAGCCCAGACAGGGGATTGAAAGATTGTTTGTGGTATTGGCGTTGCGTCAAACCCGCACAAGGATTGGCTTGCGAGCGACCTTTACCTCCGTTTTGAAGGAGGTGATGCTTCCCATCGGGGCTAGGCGCACTGCTGAATTGGATTGTAAGCTTGTCATCTCTGAGGGACTGTGCAGATGCAGCCTCAAGCAATCCAGCATAGGCTCTTTGGTAGCGACGAAGATCGAGTTCAGTCTGTGGGGGGCGTTGGTGTGGAGACAGAGGATTGGGGCGGCTGGGCCCTGCATCATCCCTCATGTTAAACCTTCAGGAATCCTGTGGCGCAAGGACATCCCCTTGTTGCAGCATTGCAACTTCCATTCCCCGCGATTCTCTTATGCAAGGTGGCTCCACTCTTGACGACCACCACACGTTCATTGTGCAGTACCGCCCAACCGATGACAAGTGCTGTGCTTAATGCCTTTGCATGAACCAGGGCTACTAGATCTAACTTTTAGCGCGTCGGCCCCCAAGTGTCCACGATTATGTGGCATTAGAAGGCACCTGGATATGCACATTGACGAGTGCGATGTCACCTTCAATTTCGGCATCACCTCTCATGAGAATTTTGAGGGCAACGATCTGACTTTCTGTGGAATGTTTGATTCAGCAAGTCATCGCAAGCTGCATCACAGGCAGCTTGGCTGACACATGCTCACACTATCTTCAAAGTGGCGCAAGCCGACCAAAGTGCACGCCTTACAGGCACATTGGTCCGCGTAGCAGAGGTACAAGCACGTTCGTGGACGCTGCGTGGTACATTCTGGCAAGCGGCGTCATGGTGCTATGGACATTGAGAAGGTTCACACAGCATATGCCATTGAGCTTATGCGAAGTGTAGTAGACAGGTTCTGATATGATATGCCTGCATCAGCTGCAGGGCGAGCGTGCATCGCTGATAATGTGGACGAAGAGTCGGAGTTTCCGCCGAACCGAGGCGCATGCCTGGTGTCGCACCCAATTGCCTACTGGAACCACCCAGGAATTCATTGTGCCATGTGGAGTTGACGCTGGCAAAGAGTGTTTCGCGTTGGCAGGCTTACCGCGAAAGAAACCGAAAGGGCCTAACATATGGTGATGCAGACAATGTGTGTCTCAGCTACACCCATGACCCCGCCGCTCTGCTGCCATAGAGTGGCGGATCGTGTGCATCTCGCATTCACCTGCTACAGTCAGCATGGTCAGCAGATGGCACGGCTAAGGACTACAAAAAGCTGATGCCAAAGAAGTTTCAGTATCACATGAAGCCAGGGCGGCTTGTTCTCTGCCAGGGCAGACACCTGAGTTTTGTCAAATGTGCAGCTGCCAGGCAGGAAGCCAGTGAAGTCGCAGCGACGAGCATCACAACAGACACCGAGACGAAATTGGCAGAATGATACAAAGAGGTTTTCGTTGAGCATCTGTCATCCAGTCCGGAAAAGCCACTTCTTTCGCTCTTGGAGTAGGGCAGGCCCGGATCTAGATCAGCTGGCTCTTAATCATGGCTTTCAGTAATGACTCAGGCCGAGTTCTTCTGGCCTTGCACCCATGAACCCTGCAGGGCAGAGATAAACCTAACGCCCGTCGACCTTTGTGGCAGTTGCATTGCAGTTATAGACAATGTCCCTTGAGCGAGGCCACCAAACAAGGGCTTTGCTACCATGGTCGCAAAAATTGCAGCACAAATCCAGGAGAGAAACATTCTTTGCATCTGCTCCGGCATTTCAGCGTTTCGAGCCCAGTCGCAGCAAAAGGGTAACAGATTCCAGAGACATTTGTGTGCAGAGCTTGTGCATGTAAATAGCAACCACCACCATAATTGGATGCTGCAACATGCAGCACCATCACAGCCCGAGAATCGCACCAAGAGGTTGTCGATACCCACCTGCAGTTAACAAACGATTGAACCAAGGAAAAAAAGTGGGTTCGGGTCTGTGCGTCAGAAGATTTGCCGGAAGGGGAGTCAAAGATGATCGCTCTGGAGCAAGAGACTCTATGCTGCAAGTATAGGTCATCCGTTGAGGACGTTATGCTCAGCTTATGCATTTTCAAAGGCAGATCTGCTGAGGCAAAGGGACTTGACTGTGTTTCATTGACATGAAGCTGGCCACTTAGGAACGAGCAGATTGCCGTGTTCAGGCACAGAGGCGAGCTCTTTGCACTGGCATCTTGAATGCTATAGTTGGCCAGATGTCGTGAGCCGGAATTTGCAGGATGAAGTGTATATGTGCAGGATAACATGCGAACTTGCATGGTTAATTCGTGCGAAGCCAAGGACAATCGCTGCGCACACATGGGCGGATCCTTGTGTGAGGGCGAGATAGAGGATGTCGGCACTCAAGGACTAGGCCGCCGTGCTGATGTTGATGCTCGTGTAAAATTGGTACAGTAGTATCTGGCCAGTTGTGACACTGTCGTCATTTCGGCACTTCTCATAATCTCACGGGGTCACGAGGGTTCGTCTTATTCGCACGATAGCGGTAGCAGTTAGCAATATTGTAAAATTATTTGGGTCAGTATCATACATGGAACTGGCATTGTTATTAGCATAGTCAAACGGAGTTTCTCGCGGCGCCTGTTGCCACACAATTCTCAAGAAGAGCCCCTAATCTATTGACTGTATGTTCCAAGATCCCAGGCATGCCCCTTTCAAGAAACCTGTAGCTTCTATTGGCATTGTGATGTGGCCAGGCACCAGCGATTCCAAAGCCACGGATGGCATGGTGATCTGCCCCCGACATTACATGCATCGGCGGCAAGTTTGGGAGGGCTAACAGAACATGCAACTGTGTTCATTCAATGCCAAGTGATCCAACTCGCCGGCCAGTCGTGTGCACAAGCTGGAAAAGTCTAGCATGCTAGCTGAACCCAATGGTTCGCGGCCTTTACTGTGTCTGCGCTGGCTTTGACGCGGGAAATGCCATTCGAATTTCAGGAGGTCTCAAACAGGTATCCACGGGCAAAGAGCTTGCTGGCTGCTTTGATTCTGTGACGCATTAAAACATGTTAAAACATGGCTCGGGCCCGCAAAGATGTATCATGCATGTCTTTTGTGATCAGCGTCGAACTCACCACGCGTCTGCGAAGAAAAGACCGTCCCTGATGCGCTTGTGCATCGCAGTGTGTGTAACTCCTCCTTGCTCTTCTTCCTGCTCCTCGCTACTCGGCATGCTCCTTCTTCGTCATCGGCGTAGTCGTCGTCGTCGGCCGCCTCCTCTTCGCACGCTCCAGAACAAGCATTTTGTTTTTGACCCATGGCGCTGCAGAGTGGTGACAGACATATGTGTGTCTGTGTGTGTCATTAAGCTAGCCAGGTGCTTCAACTTGCGCACGGGCAAAAACGTTGAAGGCGACTCCATGAGTCAGAAGGCCTGCATGCTGACACCTACCTGGAGTGTCAACGGTTCCTCAGTACTGCTTGGATTGCGCAATAAGTCAGCACTTGTTGCCTGAGGTGTATCCTGTCCGTCTCTCAGCAGACGGCAGAGATGTAGAGGCATTGCAGTTCCAGTAGAGCATCTCGCTTAGGGAAGGGTTTGGACGCTTGCATGTGCTTGCTTTGCCTGGCTTCCTCGCTTATTTCTCCTTGGTCAACCGCCCACCCTGTCTTCCGGGTACATGCTCCAGACCTGCTTCGTTTGGGACCTGCTTCCAAATGGGAGGTCACGACTGCTAAGCCAAGCTACTGCCAAAACTGTCTGCTGCCTGTCCAAGACGCATTGGAAAAAGCCAAAGCTACCCTGATACGAGCTGTGGGATTGCGCGTTGTGATTCTTCAACCTGCTTCAATGGCAGCAGGTTGAAGTGGAGGTAGAAGTTGCCATGACAGCTGCTCTTGCCTGCAACTCAGATATGATCCCAGTTGCACTGTTGGTTTTGGTTTTGAGTTCATAGCCACACCTGCTTATAAAGGAGCTGCCCGCGCGTCTTCCAAGAGTTCTTCAGATCCTGAGCAGATGGATCTTCGAATGCCGCCAGGCCTTCACAAGGGTCTTTGTCCCAACATGGTCCCCAGCCAAAAGCTCTGATACGAGCTGCGTGTCAGGCCGCTCCCAAGCTTGCCATTGCTGGCTTGGGTCTCCTGGCATGTACAGACAAATTGCATTGGTATTAATTCTCCTTGCTATGTTCTGATGCCTATTGCAATGGTGCAGATGATTCACGCTGTCATTGCTGAGGCTGTCTGGCTGTATCAGCTGCCATCTTGGCTGCGAGCTTGCGCTGGCGCAACCGGGCAGCAGATGCGAGATCAATGCAAACTTGAAAATTGTCCTCGGCGCCAAGTGTCTGCAGATATGGATAAGATGAGGAAAAGCCTGGAGGACCTAGAAGAGTATAAGGGAATCCAAATAGCTTGGTCTATTACTTTGATTGCATTGAACAGTGTCGCTATGAAATGACAGCGATGGAATTGTGAACAACAACTTGCGATGTAAAGCGTGTATAGAATACTGAAGAAGATTTGCTTTGCATTGCCAACTCAATTTAATGAGACGACCAGCTTCAACAAACCAAAGTTGAATCGGTTCTCCCGAAGATATTGATTATGGTAGAAAGCTTGTTGACTCTCGTTGTCTATAGCATGCGAAAGCTAGGCGTGCAAGTGCCCCTTGCAGAGCTTTCTGAACAACCTAAACCTGGTTTAGGGCTTAGGGTATCTAGGATATTTAGGATTGTATGGCCTGAGCTTGCTTGAAAAATCTGAATTCAGAACGCTAACCTTTAAACGTCATAGGCTAGATCCATTCGGCAAAATGATTGTCAAATAGTACCCTGCACAATTGTTCCTCTACAAGATCAGGCATATAGAGACTTTCTTCTATCAAATAGTCTTAGCGCCTTGCAATTTCTGAATTTGATCTTGATTGAAATGAAGTCTCAAGTTCTGATCCATCAAAACCGGGATTCCAAGGTCAGTAGTTTCACGGAGTTTCTTCCATGCAAGATCAGACCTTGAAATTCATCCACAACATGGCACTGGCACATAGTCAACAGATCTCGAGATTTCGCAATACGACCCAGTATTTAGAGACTCTTTGTAGAGGCAGGCCTCTCAGATTATGTAGGTATTTTGCTTGCACTAGCGAAGATAGATGAGGTACACCTGCATAACAAATTCTTTCTCAGTTCAATAATGTTTCACATGCATTGTCAAAAAAACAATCCTCAGACCTCTTTTTGTGCCCTCAGCCCAAATTCACCAAGTCCTCAAACATCCTTGAGAACTGATTCCTCAAAGTTTTGCCGCCACCACCATCACTTCCTAGCGATGTTACTAGAACTTCTCGTACTTATTCTTATTATGGTTACTATTACTTCTTGTAGTAGTTCTAGTACAACACTGGCACATCGGTACACCCAGGGTTGGGATTTGTCTTTGGGTTTGGATTGCTGCAGCTTGATTGAGGTTGTTGAGGGTTTAGGGTTTGTTGAGGGTTTGGGCTTGATTGAGGGTGTCTGGGGTTTGGTGTTTTTTGGCTCTTACAATAAGGTTCCGGGTTGCTTGGACTTTGGAAGGTATTTGTTGTGTGTAAGGATATGCAGGGTTGGAGTTGTACGGTATAGGATTTATGATTTGAGGGTGTTTCGGGGTTGCAGGCATAGGGTTGGTCAGGGTCAGGATTTGGGGTTGTTAGTGGTCCACGCCTGTTTTGTTTGTTTAGGGTTTAGGGTTGCTTGGTATTGCAAAGGGTTGAAGGTTTTTGGGTTGTGCAGGGTCTGCGGCTTTTTGTGATTCGGGTGTTGAGGATGAAAAACATTGAGGTGTTGGTTGGAATCTTTAGCGCTGAGGAATCACATTGATTTAGGATTACTGAAGTTGAAAATATGTTCAATATTTTTAGTTGTTTATTACTGCAATGAATTTTCTACTGGTAGATTGTTATTCTCGACAGCAAAAAGGCCTTCGTGAACGGCCAAAAAGACTGGTCTACCTATCCATCTCTTTATCTGCTTGTTCTTTCGGTTTCTTTATTGGGAATCTACCTCTCTATCTATTGATCTTTATCTATCTCTTTCTATTTATCTATATATTTATTTTTTATATCTCTCTATCTATCTCTATTTGTCTCTCTGCCCGCATTGATCTATATCTCTATCTTATTTTGGTTTCTTTTTTGAAATACTTATACATTCAAATTTCTATCTGATTATTGTTCGATCTATTTGCCGATATACTTATCTACTTATTTGATTATCTACTAAATCGTATTAATGAAATCTTGTTTATCTCTATAAATTCCAAAATTTTCGGAAAATTTTGGGGCCTGGGCGCTCTTTTACCCCTCCCCCAAAATTTCCGGAAAATTTAGGAACGTCCATTTCCAAAATTTTCGGAAAATTTTGGAATCCAAAATTTCCGAAAATTTTGGAAACGGATGAAACCGATACCTCTTATAAACTAGAGCCCACGCCCAAAAACTTTCGGGAAATTTTGGGGCCTGGGCGCTCTGCTTTATCGGCTCGCAAACCTCGGTCGCATTTTTTGCAACGCGGGTTTCGGTTCTTGCGCTGCCGAATGTTATCTAATAACTCCCGAACCTTACGAGAGTCACACAATTTTTGCCGGCCTTTTCTTGTGGATTTTTCACGAGTTCTCGGTGCGTAGACCTGATTCCTAAAGAAACTTGAATCTTAAGAATATTCATTGATTTTTCGCGCAGAAAGAATATTCGTCGATGTTTCGCGCAGAACTGACGTGCCTCTTCTGGATTCCCCAAGAGAATTGAATCTTAAAAATGTTCTTCAATTTTTCATCAACTCTCGGCGCCATGCATAACCTCTCGACCGCTCGCATGTCTTGCGTGCTGTCTGTTGGCTCGAGCAACTTGGCTCGGGCGGATAGAAATGTAGCTTCCCAAGCCCACTGCAATGAAGCTGCATGGCGCAGCCCCCAGAAGTGCACCAGTCGCATACGCAACATGAAATTCGATTGACCGAGGCGAGGCCCCCCCGCTTTATCATTGCCTTCTTTTTGGACATTGCCTCAGATGGGTCGGTCTAAGAATAGCACACTTGCGGCCGTCTGTCGCGCGCGCGGCCTAGCTTTTCCGGCCTTTCCAATTGGATCGCCTCCTGCGGGCTTTCTAGCGACTCTAAAATCTCGCAAGTTTTAGGGTCCCTGGCAAAAGCTAGAGCCCCTAAAATCTTCGAGATTTTTGGTCGGGAGGGCGCGACCAAAAATCTCCGAGATGTTTGGTCGCGCCCCGGGACCCCGCAGCAAGCTGCAGAATGACAGTCAGAAAAGCTAGGCCTCGCGCGAGCAGCGAGCAGCATGGTTTATCGCTGGCTCAACTTTGCTGCCCTCTATCTGAAGTCCTACACATGCACGCCTAGCACAAGAAGCAGCAGCAGCACCAGCAGTGGCGCAGCGTGGCATATAGTAACGTGGCAGCGTAACAGCATAGCAACAGCATGGCGGCAGCAGCATAGCTACAGCAGCAAAACAGCGGCGGCAGCAGCATAGCAGCAGCATGGCAGCCACGGCCGCTTCGGCACTTCTCGCACTGCTGGAAGCTGCGGGCTCAATGGTAGGCTATAGCAAGATACATGCAGCCGGCAGCAGCAGCAGCAGCA